CAGCGTCGCCTTCACCAACCCTCCGCGTGTGCCAGCGTCGCCTTCACCAACCCTCCGCGTGTGCCAGCGTCGCCTTCACCAACCCTCCGCGTGTGCCAGCGTCGCCTTCACCAACCCTCCGCGTGTGCCAGCGTCGCCTTCACCAACCCTCCGCGTGTGCCAGCGTCGCCTTCACCAACCCTCCGCGTGTGCCAGCGTCGCCTTCACCAACCCTCCGCGTGTGCCAGCGTCGCCTTCACCAACCCTCCGCGTGTGCCAGCGTCGCCTTCACCAACCCTCCGCGTGTGCCAGCGTCGCCTTCACCAACCCTCCGCGTGTGCCAGCGTCGCCTTCACCAACCCTCCGCGTGTGCCAGCGTCGCCTTCACCAACCCTCCGCGTGTGCCAGCGTCGCCTTCACCAACCCTCCGCGTGTGCCAGCGTCGCCTTCACCAACCCTCCGCGTGTGCCAGCGTCGCCTTCACCAACCCTCCGCGTGTGCCAGCGTCGCCTTCACCAACCCTCCGCGTGTGCCAGCGTCGCCTTCACCAACCCTCCGCGTGTGCCAGCGTCGCCTTCACCAACCCTCCGCGTGTGCCAGCGTCGCCTTCACCAACCCTCCGCGTGTGCCAGCGTCGCCTTCACCAACCCTCCGCGTGTGCCAGCGTCGCCTTCACCAACCCTCCGCGTGTGCCAGCGTCGCCTTCACCAACCCTCCGCGTGTGCCAGCGTCGCCTTCACCAACCCTCCGCGTGTGCCAGCGTCGCCTTCACCAACCCTCCGCGTGTGCCAGCGTCGCCTTCACCAACCCTCCGCGTGTGCCAGCGTCGCCTTCACCAACCCTCCGCGTGTGCCAGCGTCGCCTTTACCAACCCCCCGTGTGCCAGGGTCGCCTCTGCCAACCCTCCGTGTGCCAGGGTCGCCTCAACTACCCTCCGTGTGCGGCTGTCAAAACTCAGAACTTTGGAAAGCAGTGCGTGAGAGTGCACAGCTCGTGTGACTCCATAGAATCACACTGTACGGGGCAAGACGCCCAATTTGAATGAGGCCTAATACTTCTCTCGGCAAAGCTAATTAGATAGAGGCCAAATGAGGAACTAATAACACATTCCTGAAAAATGTTGCGCATGAGGAAGGCCAATGAATCCGTGTGGTGCAATATACATGAAGTGCCGTGAAGATCTTCATACACAGCTAAAAACAGAACAGGGTCTCCTGGGTTAATTACCATTTCATTTCCCGCCCATTTCAATAATTCCCCAGGCTTGATTGTCATAAATTAGCCCCAAATGGACTAATTAACCACCTCTCACAACCAATCACGTTATACCGGAGAGCAGCTGGAACAATAAAAGATGAATCACATTGGGTTGTTTGTTACAATGGGCACTTGTAGGCCTGTCTGTGCACAGAGTGGAATGGTTTGCGTGTTTTCAGTGTTTTGGGATCTGGGTGAGGTGGTCAGTTGGGATTATACATCAGACCAGATCAATCAACACCAACAATTTTACCTGCAAATCCAATTGCAATGCATCACTACTTACAGCAATCTGTCAGCTGCTTCACCTGTCACACCGCAACAATGCCATAGGCTTTGACCCTAACCCTGAACAGGACATTCAGGGCCCTGTCACACCATATCCACTGCGTTCCGGCACGGTCTCAGCCTGGAACGCACTGGATCACATTGATCAGGCCGGGCTGCATTCTGGAACGGGAGGGGATGTGGCAGTGCCATTCATGCCTATGCAACTGCAGGCACGCTCCCCGCCCGTGGTGCAATCGCCTGCACCAGAACACGAAGTACAGGAATGCCCTCCGTTCCAGAGCAGAGCGATCGTAAAAAATGCTGCATGCACTATTTTTTCCGATCGTACTGCACCGGAACGCAGGGCATTCCTGTACCTTGTGTTCCGATGCAGGCGGGGGGGAGGGGGAGACACACGCCATTGACATTAATGGCACTGCCACACCCTCCCACCCCAGAATGCGGCGCAGCCTGATCTAGGCAATTTAGTGTATTCCAGACTCAGCCCGCGCCGGAACACACTGGATATGGTGTGACTGGGCCCTCAGGCCTCATTTACACTGGCAGTGACATACATGTATTTATAGGACATTTATGAATACATATCATTTGCATGTAATGATTTTAAAAGAACTCCGTGATCTTAAAACCCAAAAACATACCCTTGCATAGGGGCTACTCTGGCACTGCGAGGAGTAAGTGCTGGTTTTGTTCAGGGGGCTCAAATAAAGCCAATTTACTTACCTGATCCCCAGGTAGGATCCTTGGGCTAAAGTTCTTCCTCAGAGGTTACCAGTACTAAGAAATATGTAGGCTTCAACTGTTTCCATGAGTGACTGACATGAAACAAGCATGCAGCAAGTGAAGTTGGTGAGCGGTTCGATCTTCTGTCAGGTTCTTATTGCTGTCTGCATAACCGCAATAGAGATTCACTCTCTCCATCTGTCCTGGTGATGACTGTCCGTGACTGGGACTCAAAGTGGGAGAAAATCCAAATTTTTGAGTCGTCACCAGAAGAGAAAATGAGAGGGAAATTCCTTCAACAGAGACATCTGTCCCTGAAAACGATCCGTAGAGAGGATCTAAATCACTGGAGAGATTTTGCCTCACTTCCTGTTGAGTCTACAGGACAGGGAGTGTGAAGAAATCTCTTAGATGGTACACAGGGGACCTTTTCCTACTTATTCCAAAGTGAAATACAAAAACTCTTGGTGTCAGATAGAGTTAAATAGTGAATTTCCGCTGTTCAGTATTATCTTTTATCTTCTTCCCATAAAACATGTTAGTAAACCAGCTGAGCCACCCTTCGCTCCCCTCATTAGAATGTCTCCCTCCCCAAGTGTCCCTCTGACCGGCTATTCCAACACTGTGCTTCAATCCTGATCTGCCGACATGCTATAGATTCACCTTTAGCGCGAGCGCCCTGCCTCGCCAGGTACACAGTGGATGACAACGGCATTGTACGCTTGCAAAAATCAATCCGTTATCTCCGCAGATAACTGCAAAACAACCCCCAACAGGTGACATGACTGCTGCTCGCCGGGTCACATTTCGGCTATTTAAAGCCAGAGCGAGGGCTTCTGCAGTGACAGGCTGTCCATTACATTGCAGTGTTATAGGGAACAGAGCAGGGTGTTCTGGTTTGAGGCCAGGTTCACACCGTTTTCCAGACCAGATCTGGAACGCGGTGCATTGCGTTGACTTTTTTTAATGCAATTTTACTTTCTTTTTTTAAAGTTTAAAATGGGCTTACAGGTGCAGTCCAGTGCGGTCGCATGCATTTTCATGTGTTCCAGTGCATTCCAGACCAGAGAAAATGACACAGTATTTTTTTTTTTTTCCGTACTGGAACTGACTATGCTGGTGTGAACAGAGCCCAGAAATACCAGAGGGATACATTGGGATGCATTTTTGGACTGGGAACAAACTGTTCTGGTCTGGACATGGTGCAGACATGGTGTGAACAAGCCCTGAAAGGAGACATTTAGGTGGGAATTAATTTACCCAAAAAGGCCAACTCCCCCAAATGTAATACTTTAACCTTGGATTGATGATGGTTGGCTGATTCAGCCAATTACTTTTTATATTTCTCAGGGTGTGGTGGGTGAGCAAGGCCCAGGGGCTCACCAATAAATACAGAATTTAGGAGCTAACATTATTATTATAATGTTCGAAGAACAGATGTTCTAAGATCGGTTGCACAATTGGAGAGAGCCTGCTGCAGCGAGGAATATGGTAAGTACGGTAGTAGCCTCTTCCTCAACACCAGGGGTGGCCAAAAGTTGGCCTTCCAGCTGTGGTGAAGCTACAAATCCCCTCATGCCTCTGGGAGTCATCCCTGTTTGTAACAGGCTTGCCATGCCTCATGGGATTTGTAGTTCCACAACAGCTGGAGGGCCGGAGTTCAAATACCCCTGTTCTACATCCTAGAAATAATGAGCATTTAACCCATGCAGGGTGAGGGAGGTCAGGACAAGGGGGTGAACTTGAAGGGTGTTTATTTCCCCCCCTCTGCCTGGAGTTGGGCTTTACATCAGGGCTGGACCAATTCCAGGAGCCAGGGTGCCAAAGCTGGCTCCTGAATTGGCCAGACTTGCTCGTGAACTCCATATTTATTGTCCACCCCTGCTATAAAGGATAAAAGGATAGGACCTCAACCCATATCTTTAAAATAACAACAAACATACCTTTAGAAATGTTTAAACAAACACATACTTCTAGATAATTGCCGGCTTTTTATTATTCGCATTCTTTATTTCTCTTTTCTTCCCCAGTCCTCTGACAGTGGTGTCTAAGGGCAGATGTTTACTAAGGGCAGATTACTAGCTCTCATATTAATTCCTGGATTTTTGGCACATGTGACCAGAGATGTGACCGTGCACATCATCTCAGAGGAGGAAAATGCCTTTCCCTGAGATCTCGTGAGATTACAGATGAGATTTCCCAGCAATGCTCTGCTGATGACAAGGCAATCCCAGTGGGTATTACTTTGCCAAACTGAACTCATGTTGCACTTTCAAAGCAGGAAGTGAATGCTCTGCAAGTGTATTTCAAAATCACAGCATTTTACACCTGACATGTCTATATTATTGATCATCATACATAGAGGAATGCATTGGTAGAATTTGATTTTTGAGTGTAAAGGTCCGCTTTAAATACAAGGTTAATGGGGCACAATATCTGCCAGTTCACCCAAGCAGGTTTAGTCACCTTTGTGAGCTTGCTTTCTATTCCTTGGGACAGATTTATTTTTATTTAACAGAGTACAGGTAGACTTTCCTCTTTTTAAAAAAAAAAAAAAAAAAAAGCTAAACATTATATATTCAACACTGATCGGGGACAGGGAAGTAAGAAAAAAAAAATTACAGCAAAGCACAGCTCAACATCAAACACATTTACCTGTGCTTTCCTTGCGTCTAAGTCATAAAGTTGCATTTAAAAAAAAACTAAAACATTTTAGAAGTATTAGTATTCAGAAAAAAAAAGTTCACAACCTTATTGTTTTCTAAGGCGCTCTCAGGGATAATCCGATTCTCCCTCCTCACAAAGCCGATGGTGATTGCTAGTGACATGACAGGAGTGAAACTGTGCCGTCCGCCGTCATGTGAAGCCAGCTTTCATGATGCAAGCACACCTGATCACGCCCCACAAAGGAGTGGAGAGGAGTTCTGTCCTGTCACCAACAGGCTCCAGCCTGCTCAGCAGAAAATGTGCCACACAAACAGTCATTTAGAGCTAAATGCAACATTTTTGCACGACATAATGAAAACATTATTTGAACATTAACTGTCTTAAAAAAAATAAAGCTCTCAGTGGCAATGCTCTAATGATCTCTAAATCAGACCTAAAGTGACATTACACACAGTCCCATGCTGCTCTGGGCACTTACTGCGGGCTGGCACTTACAGATGCAGGCGCTGTCACCTGTCATGGACTTCGATGGGTACAGCGGCCGCATCTGAACGGGGACACCTGGCATTCCTGCCACAGAAATCTATAGGTTCTCGCAGCAGAACTGTCAGATTGTCCCGTGTGAATGGGGCCTTACTGATCTTGAAAGCTAGGCAGCCAGAAGAGTTTGTTGTCTGTGCCCCCCTTGAGTTACATTTAGGTCCCATTTACAACTAGGCATTGGTCTATTCAGGATGTTTTTAAAAGCATTTTGCAGGTGATCAGCTTTAGGGTTTTTTTTCCATTTGGCCCAATGAAAAATAGTAGCATCTGTGACATCATGCAAAAACACCCGAAAACACTTGTGACATGTGCTGTAAAGAGGAACGTCACCTTAAGGCCTCATTCACAAGAGAAAAGGCCGGCACGTAAGCTCCGTCGTATTGGGCAGCTCCCGGAAAGGACAGGCGCTGCGTGTGATTAATACGCAGCCCCCGTCCTTCTGTATGGGAATACGTGGCCGTAGGAGGCCGTGGGCTCACTCTCAGTGGAGGTCCGTGTATCCCAGCTCGGACACAGACAGGATCCATCCTGTCAGCGTACGAGTACATACACCCGCCCCCATACGGACGTGCAGGGCGGGTGAGCATACAGTGGCTTACGGCCGTGTACTCCCATAGACAAGATCAGGGGCTGCGTACTAATCGCATGTAGCACCTGTCCTTCCCAGGAGCTGCCAAATACGGCCGTGCACGCAGCATGGAGCTGTACGCGCCGGCCTTTTCTAGTGTGAATGAGGCCTAAAGTGACACTAAACTCAGGACTTAAATTTAAAAAATGCATTCAAGTACCTTAACTATGAACAAAAATGTTTCTTATTCGTGTATCACTCAGCTGTAGATCCTCAAATCATCTCTGAATTGGTGTCTGGTCCTTGTCCTTCCTTCTGGAGGGGGGCTACTTGTGTTCCCCATGGTCCCTGTGTGTGTTGTAAAGTAGTCACCGCTCCAAGCTCACTCCTGCGATGGATTACAATATCACTTTTGGTTTACCAATTTGTATTGAGATTGTAGTCCATCCCGGGAGTGAGCTTGGAGCGGTGACTACGTTACAACACACACAGGGACCATAGGAGTATAAAAGTAGCCCCCCTCCAGAAGGAAGGACAGTGTCAGCACATATTTCACTAATGGCAGATGACTCCATCTCCCTTTCCTTCCTAGAACTCCGAGTCTGCCTCCTGGAACAAGCGAAGGTGCACATCATCTTGTCGGCATTACCCAGCTCAACAAAACTGTGACTGAAGGAGCCGGGCGGTTCGGCCAAACAGTGACTACATCCTATTAGATGCTGTTTGCCCAAAAATGTTCTGTCCAGCTCCTTTGATTTTTGAAAGTTTGACAGCTGGCACTTGCGGCTCCTTGATTACCTAGTGACGGACATCTGAATTCAATAACTGGCACTGAAGATTCCTCCAGCCTCAATCTTTATCATGGATGTGGAAAATCGAGTGATTCCTCTTATTCAGCCCATGGGGGCTGAACGGGAAAAATCTACCCGTCTATCCCCAGCGCTAGGGGGCATTTCTACTAATGCACTTTGTTTGAATGCGCGTTTTACATATTTGCTCTGCTGTGGTGCACTTGTATAAAAATCAAAACGCACAAACCAAATAAAAACCGTGACAGGAAATGACTTCATAAAAGTAATATTATAATTTCCCTTTATTGCTCAGCGCTTTAAAAACCAGCAAGATACACAACCTGTAACACCTTAAAAAGACATGCTAGCACACCTAAAACATGTACAATGTGCAAGAGAGCGCTCATTAAAATGCATTACATTGTGCATGCACCCGAAAACAAAGATGAAAATGGTTTTATTCAGATCAATGGTACATAACCAAAAACACATGAAACTGCAGCGGAGAGAATGCCTACCCAGTGTTCTGCCAAGCAATCGTTATCTCTGCCGCTCAGTAGGGAACGCTGCCTTTGTGATAGAACAGTCCTCATAAACTTTATCTGTACATCTTCTGTCTGACAGAGACCAGCAGGCCAGAAGAGCAATTTATGAAGCCAAAGAAAAGATAACTGGGAGGAAAAGCTTGACTTCACCTTCCAAATAAAAAAGACAATCTGATTACTAGGGCTGACTGCTCCGAATTCATAGATCCAGACTCTATAAATCGGGAGCCACCAAGTAACAGAAGGAAGAGCGGTCCATCCAGACCAGCCAACCTTTCTCTAGCCATGGCACCCTTTAAAAGTATGCCAAATCTTGAGGCACCCCAAATGTAAAAAAAAATAAATAAATATATATATGATGCATAGCACCTCCAAAATCTATAGCAGACCCTTATACTAGACGGGATCTGGTATGGATTTTAAGGGGGAACCCATTGGTAAAACACACAAAGTGGGGTTCCCTCATTTACATGAGTTCTCCCCTGTACATCAGGAGCCCCCTTCATTTACATCAGAGCCCTCTCAAGCTAGGAGCTGCATTAACATCAGAAGCTCCCTTAATATCAAAACCCCCTCCCTTCACAAGCACATCTAAACCACGGAAAGGCATGACACTGTATGAAAATTTTAAGGCACCCCTGAGGAAGCCAGAAGGCACCCTGGTTGAGAAAAACTGATCTAGACCAGCTCTTCTCTAGTCGGGTGCCTTCAAATTTTTTGCTAAAGGAGGAGAATCTGCAGTGAGAGGGGCTTCAGATTTATAGGGGGGCTTCTTATGTGAAGTGGCTCCTGATATGAAAGGACAACCCTTCCCCTTAAAGTAAAAGCAAACTGCACACATTTCCAGCTCTGTTGGGTCAATCTTCGATCCTCAGCGCTGTCCCCGGCTGCCATTTCCGCTGCCCACACTTCCAGGTTCTCCAAGTTCTCTTTGGCTATTGGGTGGCCACTGATTTTTCTAAAACTGCATATGTGCACAGTTACATCTTCGCAAATAAATTGCAGCTTGCAGAACCTTTAACTTCCACTTTAGAATCCATACCAGACCCCTGTCTAGGATAAGGGTTTAGTGTGCATTCTGGGGGCACATGGCATTTTCGTCTAGGGAGATTCTAAATACTTTTAATAAGTGCCAAGTACATTTTCAGCGGTAAATCTGTACTCTGTACCATGGCCATCATCCACAACAACATCACTGGACTTCCTTTGCTGAGGTCGAGTGCAGGAACTAGCTTCTGCATATGTAATACTTGTTGCACTTTCACATATATATTTAGTTACACACAACAGGAAAAGGAAAAGAAAAGCAACAGATCGTCACAAGAAAGGAAACAACTGACAACAAAAGTAACCAGGCACAAACCCAAAACATAATCAAACTCCAGAAAAACAATACAGACTACATGGTACCAAGATATGCAAAGAAACAGACTTCACCTCAAACTCCAAGAAGACCCCCAGGCTTGTAAAGAACATTAACACTTTCCAATGGGGCTAGCCCCGCACTGCAAGGCTTAAGTGTTCTATTTTGTTCAGGGTCTAAAATAAAGAAGATATACTCTCCAGATCCTTGGCCTTGCGGAGGAGACTACTCCAGCTGTGGAATGTCCCTCGGCATCCTCATATCCAAAGCAAATCAATGGACGTGAAGTCACAGATCCTTAGACAGCCGGAACCAAGGGGAGAAGAGGCTGCGGGGACCGGTGTAGCAATCAGGCAAGACCACGAATCCATTACATACAGTAAGTCCCCTATTTACAAACGGGTTCCGTTCTGAGAGCACGCCCGTAAAGTGACATTAAAGTCACCATGACCCCCCCCCCCCCCCCCTCCACCTTGTAGGATTTCTGTCTGCTCAGCCACA